TTATAGCAAAAATAAAAGCCTATTCCATGCGGTTTTAGAGTTCTAATGAGATTAAAACTCTTTGCTTTGTCTTTGGTCTTCATGTGGTTTTTAAACACCGAGAAAAATGGAGGACGTTGCCACCGGAATCGGGACTCTCCCAGAATCGTGCGGGGTTTACTATGTTGAGGGCTTGCGGCGAACTAGGGTACTGCACCTTTGGGTGGTTCGGGTCCTGAACCGGGTCGGGCCACGTGTAGTCTGGTTCTGGGCGAAATTTGGTATCTTCAAGAACCATAGATCAATCTACCAAATACTGATGATCATTTTTTTAAATAATACGTTAATTTTAGGTTTGAACTGTATTACGTATTGAAATATTATAAATTTTCAAATAAAATTGTTTTCTTCTAGGTGCCGTCTTTCAAGGTACTGCTTTTTTGTTCTCTTCCTTCAAACTAATTCTTATCCAATAATATTCAGACAAGTGTTATATATTGTTAGAATTTTATTAAGATAAATAGTATTTTTTATAAGGATAAATAAATGAAATACTAAGTTAAAATATTGTCATTATTTTTTTTATTTTTAAAAGAAATTATGTCATCAACCAATCAATTAAATGCTATTTTATTTAAATTTAGCTCGTTTTTTAGAAAAATATAAATCCATTAAATATTAATGTATCTGAATAAGTCAATCGACGTGAAGAGAAAAAAGATCGGGCTGAGAGCGGGTGAACCGTGAACAAATCACCGCAGGTGAGCTAACAATCTCAAAGGTACACGTGGCTATAACAACAATGAATGTGAGAGGCATCTTTTTTCTCGCGCTGGTGACTTTAAAATTGCCGGCTTTCTTTTAATTATTCATTTTTAAATTTCATCCAAATGGGTGGCCCCTTCCCACGTTTATACACTGATTAATAAATTATGTAAAATAATATAATTTTATTCGAGAAATAAGTAAATACTATGGTCGGAAAAACCGGAAAAGAGTTACTGGAGAGACTAAACTCGACCCCCTAATGCAATGTGAAAATAAAATAATTTTCTTTAAACAAATAATTTACTCTTTAAATTTATTGTTTATAATGATTTTTATTTTAATAATATGATTTTTTACAATTATATTACGTCAAATATTTCCAGAATATCATGTAATTAAAATGATTTGAAATTTAAATTTTATATATTAATTGTAAATAAAAAATAAAAACTAAATTAGAATTTAACCCAAAAGAACGGCAGAATATTGGACAGACGATTGGCGGGAGAGTCGGCTCTGGCTTTTCTGACAATTAACGGAGCAGCCATCTGTTTTTCAGCACGATACTGTTGACTTTATTTTGGGAAAGTCTTAAGTGGGTCAGCTTAATATACAACTAGGGAAAGTCTAAAGTGGATCAGCTTAATATATAATTAAGTAAACATGTTATCAAAAATTTTATTATTTTTTAATATTTTTGGTAAAAATTATCTAAAATATTATTATTTCTATCGGAAATGTTATTATTAGACATTTTATCAGGTTTGGTAATATATCCGATAGAAAAAATGATATTTAAGTAACGTTTTACCGATATATTACCAAATACGGTAAATAGCCTAATAATAACATTTCTCGTAAAAATAATAATGTTTTAGATAATTTTTTTACCAAAAATATTAAAAAATAATAACATTTTCAATAGCACATTTCCTTAACCGTATATTAAGGCTATCTTACTGTAGAACTTTCCCTTTGTTTGGGTGTGAGTGAGGAACGGAGATGAAGCTAAAAATTTTAGGATAATCTACGTGTTTAGTACTAAAAATTATTATTACTATTCTGTATTAATTCTCAAATTTTTTTAAAAAATCATATTTAACGTTTATTTTAAATTTTGTTTTGATATTGTGTTGTTAAAAATTAAACAGAATTATTAATGTGACATTTTTTCATTTTTTTTTCAGTTATGATGTGGATTTATCTTATGGTGTCACATTAGTAGTTGTGTTAAAATTTTAACAACGAAGTATCAAAATAAAACATAAACTAAAAGTTAAATATGATTAAAAAAATAAAATTTAAGGATCAAAATGGAATAAAAGTAATAGCTTAAATACTAAATATGTAATTTATCCTAAAATTTACAACGATATTCAGAGTTAATTTAGAATTTATACAATATAATTTTATAAATTATTTGTTAAGCTACAAATTAAAAAAGCTTAATTGAAAAAATAATTTTTTAAATTATATATTTTTTCTATTTTATGTAAATTTTTGTATGTGTTTAACATATTTAATGTTATCATTTTAAGTATCTCGCTTGTTACGATCGTTTAAAAAAATCATCAACCACTAAAAATGTGGCACAAGTCATGTTTATAAATTTTTAAAAAAATTATTTAAGTAAAAAGTTTAAAATATTATTAAAAAAAACTCGAACTCCTAAAATTTTTAATTTCAAACTCTTTTGTTGTGGTCAGCCATCTTCAGCCGCTGTCGAGCGACCTCTAACCCATCGTCAACCACTCAATGACCCACAATTACCTTTGCTATCATCCTTAATCTATAAATCCCTAAAATTTTCAATACCCAAATTCTCCTTAAAACCCTAATCCAAATCACAAATAATTGCTTAATGTTTGACGTCGTCATATTTTATCGAAAGTATTCGTAGAAATCGATGATGACGATGATTGTTTTTCCCCTCTATTTGACGACGACAGTGACAACCGACTGATTTGGATTTAAAGATTTTATAGATTTGATGTTATTTTTTTAGATTTTTAGTGTTTTTTTGTAAAATTTAATAATTTTAAAAATGTTAAATATTAGATACACGCCTTAACTTAATGGTATGACAACCAACTGGCTTGCATGTTTTGAGTGGTTGACAATTTATTTTAACATCCTTAAACTTAATGGTCGAAACACTTAAAATTATAATGTTGAAAATATTAGATACATACCTTAATAAAAAAAAACAATAAACATTTAAAATAATTTATTAAAAAAATATAATTTCAACATTTATTTTTTGATTAAGTCATAAAAAAAATTACTAACATGGCTCTGGGTCGGCCTTATCCACCATTAATTATATAGAAAAAGAAGAAATTTGCTTGTGAGCAACTTGGTCTGTCAATTTAAAAAAACGTGTAACCCTCGTTTACAAACAATTATTATGAGAGGAGTGCTAATCAATATCATTATACATTAATTAATAGAATTTTTAATTCTGTAAAAAATAATAAATTGAATACAATGAGTCAATGACCTAATGTTCTTATTGCAAAACACCAATCAAATAATGCACCAACACCTGGAAACTACCTCGTTATTGCAGAAACATTAAAAAGAAGAAGCATTATTAGATTAAATATTAAAAAATCATCGACTCTTGAGTTCTCTCTAGAGGTTGCTTTGTTCACTGTATGAGTTGGGCCATTTGAGGTTGGAATTCATCACCCTTTAAAAATATCAGAATACGAAACCTAATCACACTACTCATAATCCTCCCCACCCAATATGAGTTAAATCTTAATATAATCATCATATTTTGTATAATAACTACATTTTAATTTTAAATAATATCATTTAATTTTAAAATATAACATAAGACAATTATGTCATACAAGAAGGTTTATCTTTTATTAGTTATACTAATATTATTTTTCCTATTTGAAACATTTAAGAAAGAATAAGTAATATCATTGGAGACGGGACGAATACAGAATTTTATGTTTAGGGGTTGAACTTCTAAAGTTTCATTCTCCTTTCACGTACTTTTTTTTAATAAAAAAAACAAAATATAGGATTAAACGTCTCTCAACTTACCTTATTATCTAAAGGTTCCTCAATCCACAAATATTCCGACTTAATATTTTCATTGCTTTCGATTGACTTGTAAAGTACATATTTTATTCTTCTTCTAAATTCAGAATGAACAAAGGATAACCTACCATGAGCTTATAGAAAATGAATCAACAGAGAAATTTAAATCACAAGCATTATCAATTCAATCAAGGATAATATGAAATTTAATATCAACAAGTTAAAATCCTTTAATTTCGAAAGGAAAATAGAACGAACTTGGAGTTTGGTCGGTAAATTTCTGTTCTCGTGCACAATAAGATTAACGTTCATAGCTCTTAATGCATTAAAGAATCTGCGACTGAATGCATCATTCGCCACATCACTTGAATGGTAATCAAATACGAAAAATTATATTCGTCTAACTTAAACTATATTCCCAGTATGCCATGCATTGCTATACATTATGAATTTCTTACTCGATTTGGGTTAATTCGGGATTGAAACACTAGCTGGAACGTTCTTATGATGATCAACCACCACTCAATGACTTTGAAAATATTGAATAATTTACTTTATCGAGGAATTGAGTCAATAGAATGATAATTGTAACAAGTCCCTTAACAACTATAAAGGAACATTTCTCGGAGATTTCTATTTAGAATAACTCAAGCATTTTTGGATTGAATCAAATCCTGATAGGATATGTTCCAGGAATAAGACTACAAAAAATTAGAGTTCGTATTAACTGAACTTGGGTGTATACTTATTTTTCTCCACATAATTCAATTACCAAATAATTAATTAATCAATTTATAAACATAATCTCAATATGTATGTGACAAGTTCATACAATTCAACATACTTTGGATCATATCATCAATATGTATATTCAGAAATATAATTGCAAGATTCTAGATTTTTAAACACTGTCCAAATGTAGGGGGTAAAAGGATTTTGAGGCAAACAAATGAAAATGAAGTTGGTCCTTTTTCAATCTACCACTAACCCTTTTTCCAATTCCTATTCTTAGAACCTCGCCACCTTCATGATTCGATTCAACATCTCCAAGGGTTCCCCGTACTCCTATCCAACAATGGCTACACCATCCAAAATCAACCAAATACATGGCGAGACACAATCCCACCAAATACTCACATTTCTCACCGAGCACCGGCTCGGTTCTTCCCGGAGCTTTTTACCATTTCCGGTCAGTAATGGCCGTTGTTCGCTTCCTTCTTTTGCTGTCGCTCCTTGCTTTTCTCCCCACCCTTTGTTTCTCTCAATCTGATGAAGAAGCTCTCCTCAAGCTCAAGAAATCATTCACGCATGGCGATCTGGATGATTGGGTTCCGGGTTCGGATCCTTGTAAGAAGAAATGGTTTGGTGTTCAGTGTTCTGGTGATTCCGTTGTTGGCTTCCATTTGACAGGCTTACAGCTTTCGGGTTCAATCGACGTTCAAGCTTTGTTTCAAATCCGTGGGTTGAAAGCCATCAGCTTTATAAACAACTCTTTCATCGGTTCAATCCCAGAATTCAATGAACTCACTGCTTTGAGGGCTTTGTATTTGTCTCACAATCAATTCAGCGGTGAAATTCCCAATGGTTATTTCTATCCAATGCAAAATTTGAAGAAAGTTTGGTTAAATAACAACGAATTCACTGGCAAAATCCCCGACTCGTTAATGCAGCTCCCCAATCTCGTAGAACTCCATTTACAGTCGAATCAATTTTCTGGAGAAATCCCACGGTTGAAATATCCGGAGGTGCTTAATTCCCTTGATCTATCGAGAAACGAACTCCAAGGTGAAATTCCCTCGAGTTTCGACAAGTTCGACGTCCATTCATTCCAAGGGAACGACGGTCTTTGTGGGAGAAAATTGGACAAAGAATGCAACGAAGCTCACCAAGCGGTAAAAAGCAAAGGATCCGATTCCAATATTGTCATCGGAATCATGGCTGTTGTAGTGCTTTTGTTGTTATTCGCCGTCTTTAGGTCAAAGCAGCGGAAGGTGGACGATGATCTCAATATCTCAAACAAAGAACCGTTAAAAGATGAGGTTTTGTCAGTCGAAGTGCCGGAAGTTGAATCGACCACCACAAAGCGGAAGCCGTCGGAGTCGAACCGTCGGAGTAATTCCTCAAAGAAAGGGTCTACGCTTGACTTGTTTATGGTGAACGACGAGAAGGATGCATTCGGGATGAAGGATTTGATGAAGGCGGATGCGGAGGTGCTGGGGAATGGATCGATGGGATCGGCGTATAAGGCGGTGCTAGGGAATGAATTGACAGTGGTGGTGAAAAAGATGAAGAAGTTGAATCGACTCGAAAAAGAAGCGTTCGGCGTTGAAATGAAGCGGATCGGAAAAATAAGGCACCCCAACATATTGACGCCATTGGCATACCATTTTAAGAAAGAGGAGAAGCTTGTCGTCTCTGAGTATATGCCCAAGGGAAGCCTGTTATACGTCTTGCATGGTATTACTATCCATCTTTGCTTATTTTATATGAAATGGGATAATTGCATCTGATATCCACAAATTAAATGCCAAATTCTGAACTGGTTTCTAATTGCATTATCAAATTCAAGTATTGTTTCAATTTAGTCACCAACTTTGGCGCTAAGTAATAGCTGTTTTAGAATATTTCTTAGCTTATTGATAACTAACCTCCTACATGCGTAATTACTCAAATCCAGATCTTGTAGAGAAAACAACATTTCATGGATTCCATCACTAGATCATATATGTTCGGTTTGATTTTAGTATTATTTTCTAACATAATAAAGCACGGTTTGATTCAGGTGATCGAGGAATCAGCCACGCTAATCTAAACTGGGCAACACGTTTGAAAGTCATCAAAGGAATCGCAGAGGGCTTGGCTTTCATCCATACAGAGTTCGCAACGTACGAAGTTCCTCATGGAAACCTAAAATCCAGCAATGTTCTCTTAAACGACAATTACGAGCCATTGTTGAGCGATTTCGCGTTTCAACCATTAACAAACCTAGACTCCCTTCCCCAAGGGTTGTTTGCTTACAAATCCCCAGAATACCTTCAAACCCACACAATCTCTCCCAAATCCGATGTTTTTTGTCTGGGAATTCTCATTCTCGAAATCATCACAGGTAAGTTCCCATCTCAATATCTAACGAATGGCAACGGAGAGGTCGACATCATTGAATGGGTTCAAACATCCATATCAGACAATAAGGTGTCAGATTTGATTGATCCTGAGATATCAAGTGGATCAGGTTCAATTGATCAGATGGTTCAACTCCTCCGAATCGGAGCCGGTTGTACCCAAAGTAATCCCGATCAAAGGTTGGAACTGAAGGAAGCCATTGATAAGATACATGAGGTACATGTTTAATATATTTTACACAAATAAAATCATCACTAAGGAGTCATTGAGATCGGAAAGAGATGACCTCTCAAAATTTTTAATATAATTCTATTTTAGATTTTTTAGTTTAATATCTATTTTTCATTTATGCAAATATTTAATACTTTTTTCTTTTACTGTACAATAATTTAACTTTAAAAAAAAATTTAATCATAGTTCCGCATTTATCAATTGTAGCATGCGAATGCTTTTCATGAAATAAAAGAAATTTGTTTTTTCCCTTAATTATTTAATGGTTTTGTTTAAGGTTAAATAGGACAAGTAATCAGGAATATGTGAAAAGTTTCCATCAGAAAATAATTTATTAGGACATTCGACCCAAAGTAGATTCATTGTAATATTGTTGTTACGTTTGAATGAATGTAGGAAAATGTTTTTTAATAATATATGATGATTATAAGATATTATTTATTCAGAATATTTATTGATCATTGATAACACGCGTACTCTCACAAACACAATTATTAGAACCCAAGACTCATGACATATCTTCTCTTCTGTTCTTTCTTTTTTAGTATTACAAATTTTCATGGGTTATGACTCAAGTATTCTTATACGATAATTAGTAAAATTATTAAGATTTATTTTTAAAGTTAAAGTTAAAGTTAAATTTGAATTTAAAATATCTTATTATCGAATAATAATTCAAGTTAGATGTAAATTTATAAAAATAAAATTATTAAATAAATCAAGTTAGATCGATATTATTTGTATTATACATATTCGTTTATACATCTTACTATTTAAGTGGAAGAAACAAAAATCATCATAAAAAGCAAAAGTTAAAGAGGTTAACTTTATCCTTGTAATTGTTTCGAATGGGTAATATTACTTCTCTTTTGCAATTGCATCAATTTAATCTTTTAAACATCAATGTTATCTCTCCTTTTTAATTATATTAATTTAGCTCTCAAATTTTATGAACTATATCATTATTTTCTTTTAACCAACAAAAATCATCATTAATCGTTATGATATTGACGTAACAATTAATTACGATGATAACTGTGATGAAAAAATAACCCATGATGTTAACATCATAATTCACATATGAATGATGTTTTATTTTTTTGTTATGATGCACATTGAATGTTTTCGGTATCAATCATGTTTTTTGATTAAATTGATGTCTTTGTTGTTAAATATGTGTAAACATGATGTTAAATGATAACACCACTCTCGTAAGCTTTAGTAATCGAGTAAGACCTTAAATTGAATGTTTAGTGAGGTATCAAAAGTGTTTTTTGAGTTTGAAATGGCCTTTTCTAATTTTTTATATCGATATTATTCTTATGATATTAATATCGTAATGAATTAGAGTATAAGTCTTGACAAAATGTTTAAAGAGTATCGATACTCATTCATGAAGTATCGATATTTCCTCTTTAGTATCAATACTAGACTTTGGATATCAATTCTAAGACAAAATATTATATTCTAATATATGAATTTAGAATCGATACTCAACTACTTTATATCAATATCGAATGCTAAACTAGCATAGTTTGACTCCTAATTTGATTTAAGGGAAATGTCAATAATTCATAATGAAGGAATGGGCCTAACATGATGCCTAAATATAATAATTGGCTAAAATACCTTTGAAAGATATAAATTTACAAAAATATCATTTTCTGAGTAAAATTATGAAAAACGTCGAACAATAATGACAAGTCAAATGAAAGTTGTTGTAATTTAATAGAGTTTGGATGATGAGGAAGTTTCAAATGTATTTGAGACTTCGATAAAACGATGGTGAAGCTCATAGGCATAGTGAATGTGGTGTTTAATGACAACGACAATCAAAAGAACATAAGACGATGATAAGACACGTAGAAGGAGGTTAATGGTTGCCAATAGTTTGAGGAACTTTAGGGTTTTATTGAGGAAGAAGATGATTCTAATGTGCTACTTTAATATTTCTTAACAATAGTTAACAAACAACGATCGCAATGAAAGCGAATTAAAAGACTAGTGAAAGTATTGTGAGTTTTAAAAGTTTAGTGATTAAAATGTAAACATTCTAAAATTTTTATGATTATTTTTATAATTTACCCTTAAAATAATTTAAAAGGGTGAATTGCATGTTTAGTACCTAAACTACTAATTTTATTCCATTTTGATAACCCAAACTTTATTAGATTATTATTATTATTATTATTACTTCTAATTTCTGGTTCATCTACGTGGAATTAGATTATTATTATTATTATTTTTGATTAAACTACAGATGATTACAAAGTAATATATGTTCTAAGTACTCTCAATCATTTGATAATGAATGTTTAATCACCGTTGAGATCACTGATGCTTGAATCCATGACTTCTAGGAACAATAATGATTCATTTAACAATTGAAGTAAATTGGTTTGTGCACGTTAAATTAGATTAGATCTTAAAAGAAAAGTAATAGTATAAATATATAAATTTAGGGTAAATTAAAAATTTCATCACTAAACTTTAGTCTCTTCATATTTCTATCACTGAACTTTAAAAATTTTGAATTTAATCATTAAACTTTAGAATTGCGCCTATTTTGGTCACTTTGGATTTAAATAGTTAACGACGTTATGACATGACACACGAAATCAAAACGACGTTGTTTTGAAAAAAATAATTTTACATCAAAATGAAATAGTTTTGAGTCCCTTATAAACTCATATTTTCTCTTTTTTCCTTTCATTTCCTTCTTTTATTCTTTTCTTCCCCTCTCATTTTCTCTCTATCTTCTCAAAATTCGGCTACCACTCATCATGACCGGTTGTCTCACCGGCCACCGTCGACGACAACCGATAAGACTCAAAATTTTCCACCAAACTCATTTCTTCCTTCTAAATGTGAACCCAATATCCGTTTAACCGAAAAACCTCTCAAACTTCATAGATCTAGCATTGAACACTTGGGGTTCTAGTTTTTTCGAAATCTGTTATTCACTGTTAGATCGCATCGATTCTAAAGTATGTGCTTTCTCATCGTCTCCTACCCCTCTCGCCATTGGAATCGCCCAACAAAACACCAAAGTTTCACGAACCCAAAATAATCGACCCTCAAATCATAAGCCCTCATTGTTCCACCATTAATTTTACCAAATCATCACTTTTTGGTCATCATCACCATCGACTATAAGAGGTACCACCAAGATTCGACCAAAAAGGTATTGATTTTATTGTCAAACCAGTTTTGGAAATCATAAAAGTCTTTGTATTGTTTTCATTTAATTTACCTATTTTTTTTTTTCAATTTTTGTATTAAAATTAATTGCAAGATTCTTTCTCTCTTTTACCCCCTTCTAATGTGATTTAATTTTTTATATCATATATATAATTTTTTAATTGAATATTATGTTAAATAAAAACAAAAGTCTTAAAAATGCTAATGAAGTTGAAAATCTTTGTACAATTTTTTTGTCATTAATTTTACAGATAGATGATTTGGATTCATGGTATTTAAATAAGTGATTTAGATTCATGGTATTAAAATAGGTGATCTAAATTTTTTTACTATAATTACCATCGACAGTAGCGGTCGATGCGATGGTCAGTTGAGAATAACGATGACAAAAACCTTTTGATGCTTATACAACTAAAAAAAATTAATTAAAAAATATCATGTTAATCAAAACAATAATAAAAAATGCCAAGTCTGCACAAAGTTAAAAAATAACAGTTTAGTGATAAAAAAATCCAATGTCTGAAATTTAATAATTAAATTGAAACTTTTTTAAAGTTAATTAAACAAAATAGGAGAGAGAGTAAAGTGTGGCGGAAATATTTGTAATTTACCCATAAATTATTATTATTATTATTTTTGAAAAAGCCTTCTGCGAAACGGAACACAAGCTGAAGAAGGTAGACCAAAAAATGTATCGAATGGCGGCGAATCGCCTCCTCCACAACACCTCTCTTGTTAAAAACAGCGGCGGAAGCTGCCTCCTCCGCTTCCCTACTCTCAGAGCAGTTATTACCTCTTCATGGTTTTCCACTACCGCCGACCCTCAAACGCTTCCTAATCAAATCCTTCATCCTTCCGATTCTTCCACGTCATCATCATCATCAACGACGGCTGGGGATGATCCGCGTCAGAGGAGGAAGAATCCAAGAGCCGAGTTCGAGGAGGAGCAAGCTCATGTACTGCAAGCCTCACTACGACATGTCGTACGCACATTGATTAGGATCATACTATTATGTTTGATTTTTATTTTTTTTTAAATTCGATTTTTGTTAACGCAGATAAAGTTCGGATGGAGTAAAGAAGCGATGATAGCTGGTGCAAAGGAAGTTGGTGTTTTGCCTTCAATTGTTGGATCTTTCCCTCGTAAAGAAGCAGCACTTGCCGAGGTAATTCCCTGGGTGAAATTGATTTTCAATTCTTCTTCTGGTCTCGACATTTATAAGCTTTAGTTTTACTCTTTTTAATCTCTCATAATTTGACATTTATTTATTTGTCAGATTTATTCCTTGATTTGGATTATTATGAATTCAAATTTGAAAACTTTAGCTTGAGCATTACAATTGAGAAACAGTCTGAGACTGATAGTAGTGCTTATGATGTAGATTTCTTACCTTTGCATGCTGCCATTTTCCTCTAGTTACTCAGATTCAAGGAGTCTCGGATATGGAAATGTGATATCTATATATGCCCAATATAGGCATGTTCAATTTTTTTTTTAAGTTTCTGATATATATTTGGAGGTCAGTACGCATTACCTTGTCCGAATATGCGTTGTTCGATACAAGTGTTGGATATGGTTTCTTTTAGGGAAATGAAGAGTTTAGGTAACATAGGTAATTTTTCTCGGTTCCTGGATTATTAATTTGGTTCTTTTGTTTTTGTATTTTGGGTTTCTATTATTGTGTTGCATCCACGAAATGTTGATTTCGTAATGCATAATTCCATTTTAATCGTATCCACATATACAGATATCTCACTATCTGTTCATGCTCAGGTTTGCTAATTTCAGTTACTAT